GACAGTTCCAAGCAAAGTCTAACCAGAGTTCTCTTTGCCGTGAAACCTTGCCGTTGGATTCTTGTCCATCCTGGCAGAACCCCCTCTTCTCCCTCCACTTCAGGGCGCTCCCGTTGGGAGCTGATTTCTGGACATAATCAGTTACAGGCATCACGGGGGCATTTTCGGAGCAGTGGGGAGAAGCTGAGAGAAAGAGGTGGGGGAAAAATCCTATCGACCCAACAATTTCCCCATTTTGTGGGGTGAGCCTAGACAGAAATTAAATTTCCTTCCCTTGAGAGTCTGAGGGAGGGAAGCTGGTGGCTGTGTCGCACTTCTGGACTGGGTATGAAACTCGCCAGCTCCGCATGCTTTAGCGTGGCAAAACTAATTTTGTTTCGCAGCTGGATAAATAAAGTAAGGCAGAAAAAAGCTGGCTTTACACATTTTTGAATTAGCACCAAGTCTTCCAGACTCCACCTCTTTCAGGAAATGTTCCTGAATGCAGTGGGAGGTGGTAATTTCCCTCTCCCTCCCCCTCCTCACCACAACACTGCACTTACCCCTACATCTGTCAGCCTGGCTCTTCCTTCCCAAACATCTCTGGATCCTTAGCTGAGCTTTTTTGTCTATATCAATAGGATCATAAGAGATAATGAGAGGGAACTGTAAAAGTGATGGAAGTTGTGGAGAGGACTGATGGTTTCCGAGGGTGTCAGTGTTGCTGGTCCACAACTGAAAAGTCCTAAAAAAATAAAAATAAAAATAAATAAATAAAAGAACAAAGCCTTTTGGTGGTGGTTCCTGAATTAACTTTTTTTGTTGTTCCCGAGTTAATTTTAAATGAAAAAAAATTCCAGCCAGTTATCATAAAATTTACAAGAGAGGAAACAAAACTTCTGGCTTGAAATTCAGAGAAATACATATCCTATAATGTTGGATATGTCAAGCCACCCAGAATCCACCCAGAATCTTACACGTTATCCACAAGGTAGATTTTCAATCAAGTTACATCTTTTCCAAAGGGCACTTAGGAAAGAAATGATCAGTTCTTTCCTCTTTCTCCAATACATATTCCACAGCCATTTTCACAACCCAGAAAATACGTGTATCAAAGACCAATAAAATTGTTCTAAGTTAAAAAATATTAGTGGAGGGCGCCTGGATGGTTCAGTCAGTTAAGATCTGACTCTTGATTTCGGCTCAGGTCATGATCTCAGGGTTGCAAGATTGAGAACCACGCTGGGCTCTGTGCTAGGTGTGGAGTCTGCTTGAAGATTCTCTCCCTCTCTCTTTACCCCTCTCCCTCCCTCTCTAAATAAATAAATAAATAATCTTTTAAAAAATGTATTAGTGGAGGAGAAAAGAAGTAGACTCGGTGTAGATTCCAGTGAAGAAAAGTATATGAAGCTATTTCTGAGGTGTGTTTGGGACAGGTCATGAAATGTGTTAGATCCGTAGTATGCCCCAGGCAGGTAACTGCAATAAAGTCATGTCTTGTCACGTCCTCTCTGGGAAAAGAGGGTGTTTTGTGAAGATTACAGCTAGGGCTGAAAGATGTTTCCATGAGCTTTCCTCACAGTCTAGAGGCTACAAATACCTTGTTCAAAGGCTTTTTCATGGGTTTTCTCTGGACCTTGAATACCCTCTGATTATAGGTTTTATTGTTGGGGATGAAACTTCTTTGCCCAGAATAATAGTCTTGGTGTAAAGATATTTCTAACCATCACGCCACTGGTTGTCTTTGGTGAATTTTAGGACCTTGATAGGTAGTGGGGTTAGCAAATACTGTCAGATTCAGTATCCAGCTAGCCTGTGTTTTATTTTCAAAGGTAACTGTTTCTTTAACATTTCAAGCCCCACAAACGTAATAACTATAGAGTCCTTCAACAAGAATTCAAAGTCTACTTTGATCAACTGGTTTTTTCTTTGCCTCCATCCACCACAGACTACAAGTGAAAGGTATGAATAGCTTTATTTTTAAAGATATTGAAAGTGAGGCCCAAAAGGGATAAGTCATAAGGGTTTTCTCAGGAGGATTAAGCTTGGAGTTGAGGGAGATTGAAAGGCGAGAACTCAGAAATCCCCGAGTTTTATTCCCTCATGTCACACATGCTGCAGTTTGCTTCACATCTATCCCTATCTGGGACGGCCGATGCTTCCTCCGACTTAAAGCTATCTCTTCTTTTTTTTTATTATTATTTATTTGCGAGAGAGAGAATGAGAGACAGAGAGCATGAGAGGGAGGAGGGTCAGAGGGAGAAGCAGACTCCCTGCCGAGCAGGGAGCCCGATGTGGGACTCGATCCCGGGACTCCAGGATCATGACCTGAGCCGAAGGCAGTCGCTTAACCAACTGAGCCACCCAGGCGCCCAAAGCTATCTCCTCTTTACTTCATGAGCTGCAAGACATTGCCTGGAAGACAGGACGGGCAATCAGATGGTTCTATGCTTGCTCACTCAGAGTCCATGAAATATTTCTTTAGGAAAAAGGGACATTAACTTGGGGTAATGACGAGGCAGTGAAATAAAAGAGAGGGAAGGGGAAGCTGCTTCGAGAAATCATCATAACCAGGTGTTATTGGGAAAGGAAATGTCATTAAATTAGGGGAATAGGGGCGGCAGGGCTGGGGTAACTAAAATGGTTGAAAAACACAATGGAGGGCAGGCCAGGCAGAAAAACAGACATTAAACCACTTAAATAAAATCTGCAAATTTTATTTGAGATAACCCTGAGTAGCCAAGGCTAGGACTGGAAATCTATCCAGTGGGAAAGTGACCAAACAAGATAACGAAAAAGCAACATAACCACCATGGAGTTTGCAAAACAACCATCTGTTGTGTGAGGAACCGTGGAGAGAGATTCTGTATTTATAGAATCTTGAGTGGGAAAACCAGGCACATTAATAAACTTTTTCCCCTAGTTCACCAATCTGAAATCTGAGTTTTCTTCTAGTTTCTCTGCTGTCAACATGTACTGTTTAAAAAAAAAAAAGTCCATTTAAAAACAGACAGACAAGGGGCACCTGAGTGGCTCAGTTGTTGGACGTCTGCCTTCGTCTCGGGTCGTGGTCTGGGGTCCTGGGATCGAGCACTGCGACTGGCTCCCTGCTCAGCAGGGGGCCGGCTTCTCCCTCTCCCACTCCCACTGCTTGTGTTCCCTCTCTCGTTGTGTCTCTGTCAAATAAATAAATAAAATCTTAAAAAAAAAAACAACAGACTTGCTATGACTAATTTAAGAACTCCCAAATTAGGCTCTTTTCCAAAAATACACTGCAATCGACAAGACTGTCAACTCCGTCTTAAAGGAATTGTGATACCACTGCAGACCCTGAGGCTGAATCAGAGGTTCCCTGCTAGTTTGGGCAGAGCAGGGTAGTCTGTTGAAGAGTTCCACAACCCTGAACTGTTCTTGGTCTAAGGCTTAAAATGAAATCCTTCTATAAACAAATGTTTCCAAGGGTGTATCTTAAACAGCCTACCTTAATAATTCTTATTTTTTCCTCCCCGTTTCTAAAATGGAAACTCTTGCGAGGAAACATTTTATATCAGAGGCCAAGAGTGCTAGTGTTTTTCAGTTATTGCACGTTTCCTCTTAATGAAAATGTTTACATCCTCTTGTAAAATTATTTTTAAAAAGGTAACATCTTTTGGTAGTGTTGCTTTTACAGGAATACCTCTGTGTTATAATTACTCTGTCTTAGGGTGGAGGAGGTTGGAAATAAAATGTGCTAATTCTCTTCCAAAAGCCTACCAGGGTTAATAGGATCACACTTAGTGAGTTCAATTAATTTTACCTTGAATTCAGTTGGGGTGAGGTGGAGGCAAAAATAAATGACATCACCATTTACTGGGTGTCTACTGTGTGCCAGGAAATGCACTAAGCACATTAGTCTTTATCTCATTCGATCTTTTCAGCAATGCTGCACATTATCATCTTCATTTTACACGAGGAACAGAGGTTCAGAGAGGTTAAGCAACTCTCTGCAGGTCTTACAGGTAGTAAATGGCCACCTAAATAACTCACACACTGGCCTTCTGGTTTCTTGTTAAATAGAATATGCAATCTATTTCTTCGGGGTTTTGTTCAGCAGTCCAGCTTACTGACTGTGCATCTCTTCTGCTAACTTAACTCAAGTAGTCTTTAGTACCAAGTGTGATTGGTTCCTTAAGAATTCTCTTTAACGAGAACCTATGTGCTAGAAACTCTGCTAGGTGTCTTGAGCACCTGATCTGCTTTAATCATCGCAATTCTAAGAGACTGGGTTCCCTCCGTTTAACAGATGATGAAAGTTTTGGGAAGTAAAGAAAGTGACTAGGGACTCCAAGATAGTGAGGGGTAAAGCCACGACTGGATTCCAGGTCCGACTCCATTTGTCAGTCCACGGGCCAGTGAGCCACAGCGCTGATTTAATATTCATCGGGGGTGTTCGTTATGTCCTGGGAGCCGGTACTTCGATGAGCAAGCTGCGGCAGCACCAACTCCTCCGTCCACTCAGCCGGGGAAAAGGCAGGACAAGTGGCCTAGGAGAGAGAAGCCCTCACGCTTCAGCTTAGCAACAACAGAGGTGGTCAGCGCCACCCCCTCTCCCGGACGCGGGAGATGCGGAGAGGGCCCCAGCCGTCCGGAGACTCCCGCACACAGATGGCAGCTTTCGTGCTGCGGACTCGGTCGGACGCTTCAGCAAGCCGTTAGCAGCCATTCAGTGGTCCGGCGGAGAGCGGCGAGTGCGGAACTCCAGGGCGCACCCGCCCTGAGCCCAAGCCTGCCCCCGGGACCCCCGAAACCTGGGCTTGGGGTGGCCGCCGCTCACCGCCCGGCACCCACAGGGGCTCCGCCCTTCCCGCCCCCGGAAGTGACGCGTGGCCGCAACGGCGTCTGGGAGGGGCCCCGACGTAGCCGGGGGGTTTGAGAGTGGCGGCGGCCGCAGAGGAACTGGCAGGCCGGGCCCCGGCGAGGAACGCCCCGAGCGCGCGCCCGGCGGGTAGCGGCCCCACGACCCGCGCCGCCGCCGCCGCCGCCGCCGCCGCGTGCGGGGGCGGGGAGGGCGGGGCGCAAGAAGCCGCGGCGGGCGGCGGCTGGCGATGCGGGCGGCTGCGGGCACCCGGCGGGCTCGGCTTGGCCGCCGCCGCCTTCTTCGGCTCCGCCGCGGGGGTCGCAGCGGCTGCCGCGCCGTCCTCGAGTTCCCAGCGTGAGGAGGCGGCGGGCAGAAAGCATCACGCTCCAGGCGGAGACCCAGAGGGAGCCCCGCGCCCGGCCTCGGTGAGCAGCCGGCCCCGCGCGCCCCGTCCACCCCGCGCCCCTTCGGGCTCTCGCGGCCGCCGCCCCCGCCGCGGGGAGCGGGGAGCAGGGGCCGGCGGAGGGGGGAGGTGGCACAACAGGAAGTGAGCGTGGCGGCGGGGGCGGGGGCGGGCGCGCGCTCCCCTGGGACCCGCCCCCGGCCCGCCCTGCCCTGGCCGCGGCCCCCGCCCCGCGGCGCGCAGGTGGACCGCGGAGCGCTCGGTCCCCCGCTTCGCCCCTCAGGTCCCTGGGGCACAGGGTGGCAGTGGCTCTTTGGCTTGGAGAGGGGAGGCGAATTCTGACTCTTTGTGGTGACAGGAAGTTGGAAAATGAAAGTACAGTAATTCAGAGCTTACCGAGGCCGCGTGAGGTTGCGGCTCTTCCCCGGACTTTGATCTGCTCTGGGGCACACGGTCACCGAAGTTTCTTCCTCTCCCCAAGCTCGCTGTTCATCCGGTGTCAAGTTTCATTTCTTTTTCTACTTCTGTTCCGCGAGCCCCTTCCCCCCTTGAGTTTGCGCTTAGTGTACAGCGGCCGCGAGGCTGGTCGCCTCTTGGTTCCTGGGAGGATCAATTGGAAACATCTTTTGGGGGCGGAATATTAATTAACTGGCCTTGGCAGGAAATAAGGGGTATTGTTGACTGATGGAAGTAGTCAAAAAATACACAGTTGGCTTTTTCCCAGACTGTTGAAGTTTAGGGCATTTGAAGTTGATGGCATTCCCATGAAGACTCTAGAGTCTCTTCCTCATCACAACAGTGGATCAGGTCCTCCCTTCCCTTTTGCCGGCTCCCAGCCACCACCCCACTGCGCGGAAAACTTGGTGCTTTAATATTTAGCACTGTTAGTGGTGTTTCCATTAAAATGTTGTATGATTCCGCCCACCCTTCCCCACCTCCCCCATCAGGAACTCCCTTCTCTTTGATTTTACTTAAACGTTAAAACTGCGAAAGTGAAATCCATTACATTTTTAGGGAAATGCCTTCAAGTTTTACTGCAATGTAATTATACTTTTAATGTTTTTTTTTTTTTAAGATTTTATTTATTCATTTGACCGAGAGAGACAGGGAGAGAGGGAACACAAGCAGGGGGAGCGGGAGAGGGAGAAGCAGGCTTCCCGCTGAGCGGGGAGCCCGATGCGGGGCTGGATCCAAAGACCCTGGGATCATGACCTGACCCGAAGGCAGGCACTTAACGACTGAGCCACCCAAGCGCCCCAACTTTTAATATGTTCTTAATTTAGAGTACTGTACTGTGTTAAGAGATTCCTGGTTACTTTTTTTTTTTTTTTTAAGATTTTATTTATTTGAGAGAGAGAGAATGAGAGAGAACATGAGAGGGAAGAGGGTCCGAGGGAGAAGCCGACCCCCCGCTGAGCAGGGAGCCTGATGCGGGACTCGGGACTCGATCCCGGGACTCCAGGAACATGACCTGAGGCGAAGGCAGCTGCCCAACCAACTGAGCCGCTCAGGGGCCCCTGGTTTTGTTTTATTTAAACAGCACGCTGAATTTGGAGACCTTTAGTTTTTGGGTCTTAGCTGCTGTTTCTGAAAAATAGTTGGGCTTTGGGTCACCACAGCAACTGGACTGTGTGTATTATAAACATGTTTAGGGGGAAAAAAGTTTCATTTACTAGAGAGTTCCTTTCCCTAATAGGTTATTTCAACATGCTTCTTTCAGTTTACCTCTGGGATTGACCTATTTTTGAGGTATTAAGGTAGATTCAGTTCCGTTTTCAACATCTAGCTCCTCAGTCACATTCTTTCCTTTGCAACAGTGAAGTATTTCTCTCCCTCATTATACTTCTGAAAAGCTAATTTTAGAAAACTTGAGTTTTTCCATGAAGGAAAGTAAAGGTTTTTATTGATAAGTAGCTAGAATAAAACTATTTGTATTTTTCAACTTGTCATTTCACCTTTTTGATAACTGTCTTCCTGGAAGTTTTTTTTCTTGAGTTCTCTTTTATGTCTGAGGTAATAATTGAATTTCGTGTTGATAGCACAGTTTAGGAACTGAAATGAAGAGGTTCAACTTGACTGTATACTCAAAGGTTCACCAACTTTTCGATCAGAGTATGACCTGATTCCAGAATTGAAGGAATCAAATACTCCTTTCAAGTGCCCACTGAAGATGTCCATTTTATATCCACGTTAGTTTTTTGTGAAAGAACATTGTTTTCCAGTGCTTCGTTCCAAAACCACGATGCCCTTTGATTCTAAACAACCTTCTATCCCGGAGGCACTGTGTAAAGTACTAAAAAAGCCTCGGCATTTTCCCTAGCAGTTAGGTTCTGCCCTGAAGTAGCAGCAGCTCACCAGCGTTTGATCAACCCTGAGATCAAGATCAGTCCATGCACTCCCCTCATACCCAGGAGGGAAGGTAGAAGTTGAAAGGTGAAACCTGAACCCCTCTGGGTGCACACCCGCGCTCTGGGGACCCTCCCCTCTGCCCAGAATGGCACTGTGCGCTCACTGTGGAGATGGTAGTGCTTGCTTCTGTCTTTGCACCCATACCTTAGCCGTTACAAACCCATGGGGCTCAAGCATTATCTACGTGATAGGTAGTAAGACTCTAGGATTTAGTTTGGGAATTTTCCCCAAAACAGATGGAATTACAGGCGCCAAATTCTAATCATTTTGAGATTTCAGTTCTCTGTCCTTCATCTTCTTCCCTCCCTCTCTTTGTCCCCTGCCTCCCGTTTCCCCTCCCCCAGGTCTTCTCCCTCTCCCTCTCTCTCTCTCACACAGACACACTCTCACACCCCGACCCCTATAAGCATTTTTTTTTTCAAGTAGGCTCCATGAGTGCGGAGCTTGAACTCAGGACGCTGAGATCAAGACCTGAGCTGAGATCAAGAGTGTGGACACTTAACTGATAAGCCACCAGGAGCCCCCGTAGGCATTCTTGATATGAAGATGATGCCTGGAAATATGGAGACAGTTCTTCAGTTAAGCTAAAATTTACTAGGGAGTAGTTTTAACAGGTGTAGACTAAAAAAAAAAAATCATTTAGATGGGAAACATGTAATTAAAAGTAGCCATGAACAGACATCATTAGAAGAAAGGGTCTCTGGTAAATTGAGAGAAATGGCATTCCCCCCCCATACTTGATGGATCATAATATAAAATCACTCTTTTTTATTTAAGTAAGCCCTGTGCTCAACCTGGGGCTTGAACTCACAATCCCAAATCAAAAGTCACATGCTCTACTGACTGAGCCAGCCAGGTAGCCCCTAAAACTACTCTTTTAACTCAGCTAACGTGAGGCTGTGGGAAAGGTTAGCGGGCAGGGTTACTTAGCATCAAAGTCGCACTTCATATTTGTAGGCCATTATCACTTAGTATCTAATTGTAATACTTGTTACAACCTACTGGTGATGTGAATGCAGTTCTCCACCTAGGGAATGGTTCTGATAAACAGAGTTTGTGACTGTGCTGAGAGAAACTTGGGTTCGTGGGCTCAGCTTCTCCATTAACTGTGACTGGGGACATCTCCTGCTTCCTGTTCTTTTTTGTTTTCCCATCTCTACTTTTGGATGACAGTATCTGTAACCAGCTCCGAAGCGACAACTAAGGATTATTGGAGGACATTTTGAGTGTCTTGGAAAAGTTCTAGAAACCCAGCTATCTTCCGCTGCAGTTTCTCATCTGCCTTTTTTGGGAGCAGACATAGTTGACCCTTAAGGATTCCATTCTTTGTGAGTTACACGTTGTTAGAATTAGTCTCCTAAGGCCTACGGTTTTGTAGTATTTGTAGTGTTTATTTTTAGCATCTTTATTGAGGTAAAATTCATCTACTTAAGTTGTACAGTATGGTGGTTTTAGTATATTCGAAGAGTTGTGTAACTACCACCACAATCTTAAGTTTAGAATATTTACATCACCCCATAAGCAGTAATTCCCCATTCTTCTCTCCACCCAGCCCCTAGCAACCACTGATCTACTTTCTGTGTTGAACGCATTTGCCTATTCTGGACATTTCACATAAATGGAGATACAATATGTGGTCTTTTGTGGCTGGCATCTTTCATTTAACGTAATGTTTTCAAGGTTTGTCCATGTTGTAGCATGTACTAGTACTTTAGTCCTTTTTCTGGCTTAATAATATTCCACTGTGTAGTTATACCACATTTTGCCTGTCCATTTATCAGCTGATGGACATTTTGTTGTTTCTACTTTTTGGATATTGTTATGGAATAATGTTGCTGTGAACATTCCTGTACAGGTGTCTGTGTGGACATGTATTTTCAGTTCTTTTGGGTATGTACCTAGGAGTGGAATTGCTGGGTCATATGGTAACTCCTTAGCATTTTGAGGAACTATCACACTGGTTTCCAAAGTGGCTATACCATTTTACATTCCTACCAGCAATGCATGAGGGATTCACTTTCTTTACATCCTAGCCAACGCTTGTTACTGGCTTTTTGATTATAGCCATCCTAATAGGTGTGAAGTGGTATCTCGTGGTTTTGATTTTCAGTTCCCTAATAACTAATGTTGAGTACCTTTTCATGAGCTTATTGTCAGTTTCTCTAGCTTCTTTGAAGATATGTCTTTGCAAATCTTTTGCCTAGTTTTTTTTTTTATTAAAAGATTTTTTTTTTTTTAAGATTTTTTAAGTAATCTCTACACCAATTGTGGGGCTTGAACTCACAACCCTGAGATCAAGAGTTGCATGTTTCACTGACTGAGCCAGCCAGGCCCCCTAATTATAAGAATTTTTGGGGCGCCTGGGTAGCTCAGTTGAGTGTCCAGTTCTTGATATCAGCTCAGGTCATTTTCTCGGGGTCCTGGGATTGAGCCCCATATGGGGCTCTGCATTCAGTGGGGAGTCTGCTTGAAGATTTTTCTTTCTTTTTTTAAGATTTTATTTATTTATTTGACAGAGACACTGCAAGAGAGGGAACACAAGCAGGGGGAGAGGGAGAAGCAGGCTTCCCGCTGAGCAGGAAGCCAGATTTGGGGGGATTTGGGGCTCGATCCCAGGACCCTGAGATCATGACCTGAGCTGAAGGCAGACGCTTAACGAGTGAGCCACCCAGGCACCCCAAGGATTTTTCTTTCTCTCCCCTGGCTTGTGTGCCCTCTCTCGCTCTCTTAAATAAATAAATAAATCTATTTTTTTTTAAAGATTTTATTTGTTTATTTGAGAGAGAGCACAAGGGGGGTGGGTAGGGGGGAGCAGCAGAGTCAGAGGGAGAAGCAGGCTCCCCACCAAGCAGGGAGCCCGACTTGGGGCTTGATCCCAGGATCCTGAGATCACGACCCGAGCCGAAGGCAGACACCCAACCGATTGAGCCACCCAGGCACCCTAAATAAATAAATCTTTTTTTAAAAATTCCTTTGGAAACAATTCTCTGGCCCAAAATGTCAGTACGGCCAAAATTTAGAAACTCTGGCCTAAACAGGGAGATCCTAAAACCTGAGATATTGAATGATTTTTCATTTCATGTCTTGATAATCAGATAAAGGCCACTAATCAAATAAAGGGGGATCTATAGGGGTGCCTGGCTGGCTCAGTCGGTAGAGCATGTGACTCTTGGATCTCAGGGTCGTAAGTTCAAGCCCCACATTGGGCATGGAGCCTTCTTTAAAAAAAAAGTAACCCTGTGGGCAGAGTGGTGACAGAACTTGTAAATTAAATCAGGGAGCATTTTCTGAATTTTCAGTGCTGCCAATTTAAATGTAAATTAATTTATGAGAACGGAAACGATTTGGAGGAGAAATGCCAATGGAGCAAAAGTAGATTTATTCCCTACATCTTCGGGCCACGGTGAGACACACACATACTCCTGGCAAATAAACCAGTTTTGATTTAAATGGTGGTCTCAGAGGATAGGACAATGAGCTTTTCAGATAAAACTCAGGAACAGCGGTACTCTGGTGACCGACAGTCCTCAGACTGCTCCTGTGACTTACGGAACTCATTTTGTCTCCCAGCAAGGCTTTTCTTAAGCAGTGTGGCTTGCTTAAGAGCAGATTGCCTGGGTTTAAATGTCAGCCCCACCACTTACTTGCTTGGCTTCAGACAAGTGATTTAACTCTTCTCTGAATCAGTTTTTTCAAATGTAAAATGCTGCAACAGTATCTGTTTTGTAGGGTTGTTGTGGGAATGAAATGAAGTAATACATTTGGAGCACAGTGCCTGGCATATGGTGTCCTCTAAGTGTTGGCTGTTAATATTATTGTATGTCTTATCTGTATGCCTCTTTCAGCTCATTGCTATGGACAGTGCTATCACCCTGTGGCAGTTCCTCCTTCAGCTCCTACAGGAGCCTCAGAACAAGCACATGATCAGCTGGACCTCTAATGATGGGGAGTTCAAGCTCTTGCAGGCAGAAGAGGTGGCTCGTCTCTGGGGGATTCGTAAGAACAAGCCTAATATGAATTATGACAAACTCAGCCGAGCCCTCAGATACTATTATGTAAAGGTAATACACATCCACCTCAAAACAAGAATTGTTCCTCTCTTCTGTTGAGGTTATAAGGTACTAATGTCCTTTTTCACTTGAGGTATAATTGACATAAAACATTATATTTTAATTGAGGTATAATTGAGGTACAATTGACATAAAACATTATATTAGTTTTAGGTGTACAACATAATGATTTGATATTTGTGTACATTGCAAAATGATCACTGTCCTGGTTTATTTTCACCCAATTTATTTCATAACTTCAGCAGTTTGGAATTAGGATGAAACATGTAAATGTTCCAGCTCTATTTCTGCAGTCCCACTCCTCACGCATATGTTGTTCCTAATTGCAGTTGTCTGTAAAGAAAAAGTGAGTATAGGGTTGGAATAAGGAAAAGAAAATTTGAGATTCTTGACAAAATAAAACATTCTCGTATATATCATAATTTAAAAGTTGTCACACATATGCTTGTTTTTTAGCTTTACTTTTTAATTTAACCCAGAGAACACAAATTAATACTTTAAAAAATAGCTGTTAATACACAGATTTGATTTCTTAGCTAAAATTTATTTTTTGCTTGATTTCCTATTATTTTGGATACGTTCTTGGGCTCTGAGGTGAAATGAATGGTTCAAATGGATAGAATTAGAATGAGAAGCTGAGATCTGAATTTCTTTCACCTTTGAGTGAAAGAAAGTTTTCCCCTATGGGGGTGTGAGGTAAGAAAGAACTGGAACTTCAGAAGGAAGTAGAAGGCCCAGCAGAAGTAATGTTCTCTTCCTTTGTGCTTACTCAGGATGCGAATGGCTGGTACCTTTGGAATTGTTTGAGACCACAGTTCAGTGATCTTTGAGTTAATACAGATAATTCGGTTGAGGATGTTAGGCAATTGAAAAACCTCTCTTTTACGTAACATGTCATTTCAGTTGTTCATAAGACATTTAAATATACTCAGCTTATGCTCCATAGCGCTAGGACCTGGGTTTGGTATGGCTAGATAAATGCAGGTGATTTTGAGGCTCTCAAGTAAACTACTTGCCAAATAGAGACCCTTATGAAGTCAGCTTCTTCCTGAGCTGTGAGAGGTACATTTGCAAGAAAATATAAGCATGCTTATTTTATTTATCTACAGAATATCATTAAAAAAGTGAATGGTCAGAAGTTTGTGTACAAGTTTGTGTCTTACCCAGAGATTTTGAAAATGGACCCACTGACCGTGGGCAGGACTGAGGGAGACTGTGAAGCCGTGAGCTGCGGTGAAGTTGGCAGCAGCTGCAGGGACCCCGAGAGCGGGGGCAGAGAGAAGCCCCAGCAGCCCGGGGCCCGGGCCTCCAGCCGCAATGACTACATACACTCCGGCTTGTATTCTTCCTTTACTCTCAACTCTTTGAACTCCTCCAGTAAGAAGCTCTTCAAACCTATAAAGATTGAGAGTCCAGCTGAGAAGCTGGCAGAGAAGAAGCCGCCTCAGGAGCCAACACCGTCTGTCATCAAATTCGTAACAACACCTTCCAAAAAGCTGCCAGTTGAACCTGTTGCCGCTGCCCTGTCAGCCGGCGCAAGCATTTCTCCGTCTCCAGAAGAAACGCTCCAGGCGTTGGAGACTTTGGCTTCCCCCAGACTGCCTTCCCTGGAAGCCCCGGCCTCTGCAGCCGGCGGCACCCCCGCCTTTGCCACGCCCCCCATCTCCGCCTCTCCCTCTGTGCAGGAGCCCCCCAGGACCCCTTCACCGCCGCTGAGCCCCACCCCCGACATCGACACCGACATCGGGTCCGTGGCCTCGCAGCCCATGGAACTTCCCGAGAACTTGTCACTGGAGCCTCAAGACCAGGATTCAGCTTTGCTGGGAAAGGACAAAACAAGTAATTCCTCAAGATCCAAGAAACCCAAAGGCTTAGAGCTGGCGCCCATCCTTGTGATCACGGGCAGTGACCCGAGCCCCCTGGGAATATTGAGCCCGTCTCTCCCCACGGCTTCTCTTACGCCAGCACTGTTCTCACAGGTAACTGCCTCTTGCTTTCTGGAGCCACCGAGGTTTGCATTGACCCCCCCTTTTAAAACAAATCCAGAATCGACCACCGCCTGTTCTCATGCTGCTACTTAAGTCTGTCTTAGAAAGGTGGGCTGTGACCCCATGAAAGTAACCCAGTCCCGCACCTCATCGGAACTGCCGCAGGCGAGGTTTGCAGGAGCGTTCTGAAAGAGCTCATTGTCTCTGCAAGCCAAGAAATACTTGTCAACTTCCTCCTAAAACGACTATTCTCTCTCTCTCTCTTTTTTTGGGGGGGGTCTTATAAAACTCATTGGTATTTTATACAAAAGTAGTGATAACGTCAAAAGCTAGAAAACAATAAATCCTGAGAACCTTAAGAAAACCATCTGGTGTGATGTTGAGAAACAAGTTTGTACAGTTAACATTAGCTATTTCTTAACTTGCTCATCTCCTAGAACATTTATTTACTTATGTATTTATTTAAGGGGGTGGAGAGGGAGAGAGAGAAATTTTTTTTTTTTTAAGATTTTATTTCTTTGACAGAGACACAGCAAGAGAGGGAACACAAGCAGGGGGAGTGGGAGAGGGAGAAGCAGGCTCCCCGCGGAGCAGGGAGCCCGATGCGGGGCTCGATCCCAGGACCCTGGGATCGTGACCTGAGCCGAAATCAAGAGTCCAACGCTTAACTGAGCTACCCAGGCGCCTCCCCCGTAACATTTAAATAGGTGAATCCCAGACCTCCCATTACTAAGGAGAACTGTGTGACTTTAGTTACCCGTTATTTCTCTGCAATTGACCAGATTGGTTTCTGTACTTGGGAAAGACCCTACAAAACACAGGTTAGAAAATATTTTGCCCTTTATCTTTCTTAGGTTGTGAAAATAATTTCTGAGCTTTTCCTCATGATAAAATTTCAGACGTACTTAGTGGAGAAGAGGACAATATTTGGGTTCAGGGTTGGGCACCTGGGTGGCTCAGTTGGTGAAGTGTCTGCCTTCCGCTGAGGTCATGTTCCCGGGGTCCTGGGATCGAGTCCCGTGTCAGGCTCCCTGCTCGGCAGGAAGCCTGCTTCTCCGTCTCCCTCAGCGCCCCTCCCCAGCCCCCCCTTGTGCGCATGCTCTGTCTCAGATAAAATATTTGGGTTCACGGCTACTGGTGTATTATTATAAGGTTGAAACATAATCCTGGTGAGTCACTTAGTGACCGTCTTTGTTCTGCGTGTTGCAGACGCCCATCTTACTGACGCCGAGCCCCTTGCTCTCCAGCATCCACTTCTGGAGTACTCTCAGCCCTGTTGCTCCCCTGAGTCCAGCCAGACTGCAAGGTGCTAACACACTCTTCCAGGTGAGTCACCTCCAAGCCTGTCTCTTGCAGTTGGGGCCTGGCACATGGAGAAAAGAAAGGCCGTTTCTTCATTCTTCAGTCTCCTCATTATAAAACTTCTGTTTAATAAATATGCTCTACGAGGGTTAATTTGCCATCCGGCAAACGACTCCGACAGACACAGCCACGCTTCCTTTTCATTCTTTACTGTTACATACATTTCAGTTAGACCAGTTAGTGTTCAGTACTGTAGTAGATTTTGAACCCACCCAGTTTCTTTGTCATTTTAAATGCTAGAAATCCTCTTTTTTTTTTTTTTCTTGGAAAAGAAAATACACACGTGTGAAAATTTGCGGGAGAATCTGCACATAGGTCTCTTTTACCTGAGGATTTTTAAAAAAGAAAACTTTTGAGAATGGTCTATCAAATACTCCCGTTTCTCACTCATTTAAAATTGATACTTGCCAACATTTTAAATATATGTTTAAAAAAATGGATATTGTAGTATCCCTTAACTGAGATCATAGGAAAGGTGTCACAGCTTTTAACCATTATTTTTCCCCAAGCATCTAGACTTTATAACTTGTAGAGTTTATTTTGGTTGATTCATTCACTTATTTAGGGGTAACTCACTGGGAGATTTTCTTATATTTTACAATTTAATTTTTCATTTGTTCTTTTGAAAATGAAATGGTTAAGAAAAAAGGAAATGAAAAAAATTTTTTTTTAAGATTTATTTATTTATTTGACAGAGAGAGACACAGCAAGAGAGGGAACACAGGCAGGGGGAGTGGGAGAGGGAGAAGCAGGCCTCCCACGGAGCAGGGAGCCCGATGCAGGGCTCGATCCCAGGACCCTGGGACCATGACCTGAGCCGAAGGCAGACGCTTAACGACTGAGCCACCCAGGCGCCCTGAAAAATCTTTCTACTTCTGCATTTTTTTTTTCCAAAAAGTTCTAAATTACTGAATGGAAAGAGTGTTGAGAATGTTTCATATTTTATTTTTACATTTTTCTTTGCCTCTCACAGATAATTGAGTTGTAGAGTGATCTGAGACCTTAAAAGTCACAGTGCTCGTGCAGTTTCAGCGTGGACTCTCCCTATAGAACTGGTCTTAGAATACATGATGGGGAGCTCTGTTCTGGGATGAGCACCCTATAACTATTTGCACCAGTTATGGAGTTCATGGATGGGCATCTCTTTCCGGACCTCTTTTTGACTGTCTGTGATTTGCTTTGTAATTGAATTATACTCTATAGTGCATGAACTTTCTAAAACCTTCGTGTAAAGTTAAATGTAAATCTGTATACCTTAAGCTATGAGGGAAGGTAGGCCAGAGAGTGTTAATATTTGACATGTAGGATAAACAGTTTTTTTCTTTGAAGTTTTTCCTGTGACATCATGTTCTTCCATGATAAACAGTTACTACCTCTGTCCCGTGAGCCACTGCAGGCAGCTTTCACGTTCTGCCTCAGGGACTGTAGCCGGGACAGAAAGTGAAAGTTGGGGTTGAGTAATAGGATGATAATGTGTTTTATTTTCTTTCTCAGTTTCCTTCTGTACTGAACAGTCATGGACCATTCACTGTGTCTGGCCTGGATGGACCACCCACCCCTGGCCCATTTTCCCCAGATCTACAGAAAACATAACCTATGCACTTGTGGAATGAGAGAACCAAGGAATAAAGAAAAAGAGTCGTTCAACGTGATTACATTTGAAGTGAGCAGTTAGTAGTTCTACAATGCTAATAATAGACTATTGTGATTCCCCATTCCCCATTGAAATGCCTTTTTAAGATTCCCTTTGAATATGACTCAAGTTGGACTGTATATAAAAATGCCTTAATTGGAGTCCAAACTCCACCTCCCTCTTCCTTCCTTCACTCCTTCCTTCCTTCCTTCTTTCCTTCCTTCCTTCCTTTCTTTCTAAATATTTTGAGCTTTGTGTTAAAGATATTTTTGGTGGGGTTTAGCAGCTAGCTATGCTTTGCAAGAGCAGTTAAGAACAAAGTTACTCCTTCTGCCTTATTGGGACCCTTTGACCAGGAAAACAATGATGCTTTGAGTGTATTATTTGGAGAAATGTGAACTGCAGTTGTTGGCTGTATCTTCAGGACTAAGTGTGTTCTGTGGAGTAACTAAAAGTGAGCTGTGTACAGGCAGTGAAGGAAGAGGAATCCTTCCTGTTCACACAAAGTAAGATTGGAGCAGTATTATCAGAGAGATTCTGTTTGGCTGTAAAGGGGAATGTATGTAAGCAACTCCACAGAAAGACATCTTACTTACCTTTATCATGTGGGTTTCTTAGCCATAAGTGTGATCTTGTTTGAACCTGTGAACAGAGCATGGAGCCTAGTCTGTTTCAACACAGGAAGATGTTTTAAACTTGGGGTTTAAGACAGCGTTTGCAACAACCAGTAAGAATAGGGGACCCCATCTCCAGCATGGAAGTGCCGTCAAGTCTCTGGGTGGTATGATTACACCCCCGTGGTACACAGCCTGGTAAGTGATGGCTTTTAGGGTGAAGCTGGGTTTTGAAATCTTGAGGCATCTCTGAATGAAACATTCAACTGAATGACTTGAAACAACACGTGGGGTGTCCCCAGTTAGAAGAGACTTTTTCTTTCCTGTTCATTTTACTCTATTTTCCACTGCATATTTACCTTCTTTTAAATTTAAGGTTGTTAGGGGTTGTAATAGTTTTAGAGATGTTATTAAAGAAGATGAAAAGCAAAGCAAAGCCTCCAAACCTTAGGTGAGGTAAAGATGTGCTTATTTCTTTGACAGAAAAATTTTTTTAATTAGAGAGCCGCAGAATTTGTTTGGAAATGCTCATACACAGGGATTGGATTGCTCACATTAGCAGTGAGAAATGTAGGCCTTCATCTCTACGTTACCACATTTATAAAATGTTACCATATGGTAATCAGTGCCAGGTGCGCACGGAGTGGTGGAGCCTCCAAACTGAATTGATACCAACATCACAGTGGAATCTTCTGAAAAACTTGGCTTTGAAAGTCTAGGATTAGATTATATGCCACCACCACAACACTGCCCATTAACCTCATCTTTTAACTCTAGAAACAGTTCTATAATTGAGCCCCATAAACTGAAGGGAAAGAGGGAGCAAGCATTGGAGGGCTCAAAATGACACTGAGACAAACCAGCATCTTCCAGATGTATAATCCTTACTTTAAATGTTTCTGTACAGTGTAGAGAAGCTGTAGTGTGAGGCACCCAGACACCCATGCTAGGTTAGCAGGAGTGGAGGGACAATATTCAGGGAGCTGTCTTTATATTTGTAGTGTTGAAGACCTGTTCGCGATTCATTTGTGGTCACCAGCTGAAAGATCTGTTCTTGGGGTGTTCTGGAGCGATGGGGAACAGACGGTGGGACTTGTCTCCCACACTGAGTCATTTACTTTGCATGCTTGTTTGAAATCAGACCTCTCAGCAGCACTTTGGAATAGTTATTAGGTTAATGAATATTTTGTACTTTAAATGTAAGTATTGATGGCTTGGTTTAACTAGATATTTTAAATTTTGAAAGCACAAAAGTATTTTATGTCTTTGAAGTAAGGGAGAAAAGCCATTGGTTGTTTTCATAGACAATATCTTTGAAGATTACCTATCTCAGCACAGGGGTGCCTGGGAACCAAGGGCACCATTAAAACTCAGTCACAGCACCTTCCTAGGAACCAGTTTTCAAGAGTCCTCTGTCTGTAAACCTACCCCGGAAGCCTCCGAGAGGTGTGGGCCTCAGGAGATTGATGATCTGCTTTCTCTTTGAGATCAACTGACGTGGAGAAGTGTGCGTGCGTGTGTATGTGTGTGTGTGTGTATTTCCTTTTTTAAATGAAAGTTTACAACCTTAGCTCAAGTGTATGAGGCAGACCGTTCTGTTTGTAAACTACCTCTTTCCTGGAAAAGTCTCAGCTTCATGTTTTTTGAACATCCAGAGTTCTTAGCATCAAAAGGTGACCTACCACTTAAGCTCAGTGTTCACTGGGGAGCCTTCCGTTTGGTATCTGTAGCTGGTACCCATCACGGGTCATTTTGCCGGGATGATGGCTGGTGGGCCAAAGTAGCCCACGTTAAGGGAAGGGAGCAGGTTGGATGAGTTTTTGAGACATCTGTGATTATCTTAGCTTTTCATCTGCCCTGGCCCATATCTACTCATTTGTATGCTGGGAAATGTTTAAAACAACCAGGCTCTCTGAAGGGGAGGAAAAAAAAAGTCCTGAAATTGTAGCATTTGCTGATTTCCATGATGTAAATGACTCCCCCTGTGGCTGATTTGAAGCCGCTGCCTTTGAGTTGAGAATGGAGGGGCACAGCGCTGCACTCTCGGCCGGCGGCCACCGCGTTCATTCCAGCCTCGGGTGGGTTTTCACATAATTTCTAAGATCATTTTTTTCTCGTTCCTATGCTGGTTTTTTAAAATACAAAATTAAAATCACATGTCTAACTTCAGTAATCTTTTTTTTTTTTTAATGGTTTGTCAATGCTTTTGTGATGTAATGTTCCTTATGGTGTATTTTGTGTGTTCTAACAAAGGTGAAAACTTCCATTGATTTTTAAAAATACATACTCAAGGGAATAATCCAGAAATCCTCAAAAAGTCAGTGTAAGCTTCTTAGAATTAAAACATAGGTTTAATTTTTCCACATTTTGATGGCTAAAATAGGAGTATAAATATTTTCTTCAGATTTTGACAGGAAAAGTAAGCCCATGAGCCAATATATACACACACATGTATGTATATATGGTGAAAGGGTACTGGATTTTTTTTTCCTTTAAATTTTTTTATTCTTATGTTAATCACCATACATTACATCATTAGTGTTTGATAGGGTACTGGATTTTTTTAACTGGAAGAATTCCTTGACTTTTTACATACTGTATTAGAGATCCAAAAAGGCAGGTCTGTTGAATCTATTCACCTGGCCCAATTTCTAGTTTTCTCCGTACTGTGTGTCACTCAGGCTCGGAGGGGAAGGGAAGTCAGAGGCTTGGGATGCTGCCGCCGTCAGAGCAGGTTCTGGGTAGTAACACGGCGGGCCCGTCCCTGGTGGGCGTTGTGTGAGGTCTGGCGCAGTAACCTTGTCTTACCTGATCTCAGAATATTTGTTAGGATTGTGAAGTTCTAAAGGCAGTTTTGTAGGTTTCTAGGGAACGTAAGCCCCTGGAAGCACCCCCTGGCATTTCAGGAAAGCGGCCTCCAGCCTCTCCGAGCACACACCTTGCCCAGTAAAGGTTTTTGAACACCAGTTTCCTCTTGCAAAATCATACGTGTGTAAGTTGTTAACTGCTGTGTGAAAGTCACATGTACATTATAAGACAACATAAAAATCGGAATTAAGGATGGTGTAAAAAGGAACTCTTGACTGGAAGTTCTAGGGAGATTGTCTTGTGCACCTTCTGGCAGCACGTACTCTCTACCTGAAAGACCACTGACTCAGGATATTGTTTACAGTCTGATCTTGAAAACAAAAGGTGGATGCTTTTGTTGTGATACATGGAGAAACCCTTTACATGTTTGCTCTGATTTTCATGTCAAATCTCTAGAAGTTCAGTTTGGAAATCTTCGGGAAAGGTTGTCTTCAATTTCCTGAAGTGTTATATTAATTCTTTTTCATACATGACCCATTACCAGTGTTTTCTAGAGCTTCATGCATAGTATTTTTGACAGCCTGTTGTCTCTTTTCTCTCCAAATTAGGTATGACTCTAATTGACTTTTATTTTACTAGTCTGCTTACAAACTTCTTTTGGCCTTATTAATGTTATGTTTTACCAACAAATTCTGAATTATTTTAAGTTGCTTTATGCAAAACTATGTAACATCTTCCATTTTCTTGCTGCATTCATAAGTTTTGATTTTTTATTTGTTGGAACATTTCAGCATCTGAAGAAATACTTTTCTTGATGGGCCAGTGCTACTTATCACTTCACTAACTTGTATATATTTTAGTTATCCATGCCAGAAGTCTAGAATTTTGCTCAGGCGCTGCTCTTAGGCGTGTAGACCAGTCTGGAGAGGAGTGCAGGTGTCTTTGTGCAGAAACCTGGAGCTCTGAGCGAATCACCAAACCAACGGGGAAGTTAAAAAGACTACTCACCGTGTTATCTGAGGGAAGGACAGAACATGTTACTTCTAAATGGAGCTGAGAAGTTAATTGTTCCCCCCACAGTAGGGAAGTGGAGGTCAACATTAATTTTCTTTCTTTAGCAGGTACCCTAATTGGAGATAGGTTCTATGGAAAACATTTTATGAATTATTTTCTTGGTTTTGGGTCAACAAATAAAGGTTATTTTTAATGCTGCAGGCATTACCTGAAACAAGGTGCCCTGTTATTCCTCTTAGGTCATCAGAATTCTGCTTACTGGAGTTTGAAGTTTTAATCTTAGAATCTAGAATTCTTGTGGGTGGTAGTGTATTAAGCAAGAAAAGAAGGCGGTTTGATTTCATTTCTCGTACTTGGTGGAACCTGTTAGCATAAAAGTCATGTTTTGACCTGTAAACACAGCAATCTGAAAGGTGAGTTGTTGATGTGGTTTAAATGTTCCATTTGAAGCTGCCAGTTTCTTCAGGCTTTTCCGAAAAAAAAAAAAGAAAAGAAATTGCAATAGATTGACAGCCTGCCAGAAAATGGCAGCTGCTGGGATGCTGCCATTCATCATGAGAGCGGGAGGCCCAGAGTGGCTTGTGCGAGAGGGGAGGCATTGGCTTTCAGGCTTTCCACAGAAACCAAGATGTTCAAGCTGTTAACATCGTTTTAAATGAACCCCCTAACAAAACTCAGGAGGG